ACAGGATTTAAACATTAACGAGTTATGCGCAAAGTATGCGAAACTGTTCACTGGAGACGGGGAGCCGTATGGATTTTGTGACAAAGTAAAGCATGAAATTCCTATAAAGAACGACCGAGTAAATATATTTGCAACACGTCGTGTCCCGGTGCATTTAGAGGCCGAGGTAAATCGACAGGTCCAGGAAATGTTGAAGGAAGGTATAATTGAGGAAGCAGACAGCCCGTATAGCTCACCGGTACTCTTGGTAAAGAAACCCGATGGAAAGTATAGATTTTGCGTCGACTTTAGAGAAATGAACAATATAACAGACCTGAACAGTAGTAGAAACATTGGATCGATTACAAAATGCCACGGTGTTTACAGTGCTGGATTTACGGTCAGGTTATTGGCAACTACCTATAAAAGATAGCGATCGCAACAAGACAGCATTTACTATACGGGATAAACAATATCAATTTAAACGAATGCCGTCGGGTTGGCTGGTGCACCGTTCACGTTTCAGAAGTTTGATGACGCTGCTGCTTAAGAATCTAGATAAGGTTGAGGTATATGGCGACGATGTAGTTGTATACAGCCTGACGGAAACAGATCACGTCAAGCATGTGGAAGCAGTCTTAAAGCGAATTGACGAATTTGGGCTTCGAATTAATAAGGAAAAGTCGCAGATAGCGAAAAACAGCGTCATATTGTTGGGACATAAAGTGGGAAATGGAAAAATAAAGCCATTACCGTACCTTTTAGGTAGACCCCTGCAGTGGTTGAGAACAGCAGGAGACCCCCGAGGGAAGTTGGCGCGGTGGATGATACGTCTGCAAGAATACGACTTCAGTATCGGCCATGTTCCAGGAAAGAAAAACGTAATGGCGGATTACTTGTCAAGATCAGACATGGAAGCTGACCTTCCAGTGACAGCATACGCGGTGAGTACTTTAGAGGGAGACCCATTAGAACTCATCCGGCAACAGAAAGCTGACCCGAACCTTAAACAGGTAATCAGAGTGATAAAAGAAGGAGCAGACGTAGACAAACGAACGACGGACAAGGAGGTAATAATGTTACTTCGGCAAAAGGAACGACTGAGAGTGAACGCATATGGAGTCGTGACCTGGCAGGACGATAACAAGAATTTGGTGGCTGTTATCTCGAAAGACTGGCGGCGTAAGATGATACACGAGTGTCACCAGGTAGCACATACAGGCATCGCAAGAACGACGGATGCATTACAACATAGTGCATACTGACCGGGCATGAGAGACGATGTGGCTCAATACGTGTTAACTTTCCAGCAGTGTCAACTAATGAAAAGCGATAGATACACACAACCGCCATTACAGTCGATCCCAGTAACCGCAGTCGGTGATCTATGGTCGGTGGATATAATGGGACCGTTTCCACAGACGGCGACCGGTAACCAGTACCTGCTAGTGATGACGGAGCATGCTACACGTTGGATAGATGCCGTACCCATTGCAGACCAGCGGGCAAGAACAGTGACCGGAGTGGTGATCCGGCATATTGTAGCGTGCCACGGAATACCGAAGATGATATTAACTGACCAGGGTCCCTGTTTTGAAAGTGACGAATTTAAAGACCGTCTAAAACAGTTTGGCATCAAGAGGATACGAACTACACCGTATCATCCTCAGACAAACGGGCTTACAGAGAGAAACAACCGGACGTTAAAGGAATGGTTAGCATCTAAAGGAGGAGATTGGGAGAAAGAGTTACCATTGATTTTCTGGCGCATCGTTCCTCCATACAAGGAACAACCAAGAAATCACCCTTCTCGCTCATGTATGGCAGACAACCGCGACTTCCATTGCACAATAAGACCTGGCCACAACAACAGAAATGGACAACAACAAGGTTAAGAAAAGAGAGGAGGGAGGCAATCAGGAACGTGGGAAAGAAGCAAATATCAGACATAAAGAAGGCGGAACAACAGAGGAAAACTTGGAAACCTTTTGCAGTGGGGGACCTAGTAAAGTGTAGAGAACAAAAAAGTAGCATAGCAGGGGGATCAGGGTCGGGAAAGCTGATCCCAAAATGGGACGGACCGTACGTTGTCACGGAGAGACGCGGCGCGGTGTACACGATCCGGAGAGAAGACAAACAGAAGCGTGTAAATGCCAGTCAACTGCAGAGGCGGTTTCAAGATTATCAAGTGTGTGAGTCACGGAAAGCACCAAAGAAGACAGCGGTACGGCGATCAGAAAGACTACGACGACTGCTTATTAAAAGGGGGACGAGTGTGGTGCGCGCTACTTATAAGTAGTATATGACGCGAGTGAAAAGGTAATGTCTGGCAGCAGAAGATGGGGGAAGATCAAGAAAGGAAGAGCGGGATTTGTATGAAACGCACGAACAGTGAAATGTCAGACAATGGATTGATGTTTGCAACAGGAACAGTCCAGTTCGATATGATGGATTGATATTTTACCAATTAACTCTGTACAATTCGGTTGCCGTCACCTGTTTTCTCCTTTACTACAAGTTGACTGAGGTTCAGTGAGGACTATACTGCTGAGTGCACTGAAAATGTTGTGCAACAAAATGTACATGAGCAAACATGTATAAAAAGCGGATAAGTATAGAAAATAACTATTCTCTTTTCTATCAGGTTAGGCTAACCTTTTTCGAAAGTCTATAATGCTCAAGAAGCTAACCGACTGGTATAGAATAGTATATAGTACTTGTTAGGATATTTAGCAAATATCGTAAAAGAATTATTTTGTAAGTCTAATTCTAATGGTTAGAGCCTATCGGTCGTCCTAAACATCTATGTCGCATACCTCAAATGTTGTTTCTTATTCGACCTAACTGTATGAATATGCTTTTTCTGCAACGTTTTATGATCCGGATCCTTATCTTCTTTTGGACTCAGACCTCGTAATTTCTGGGTGCTTGTAGAACACACTTTCTACTTCATATCAAGACTTCTTTTTCTACTTAATGGGGGTTTGGGACGCTCAGATTAGAGTAGTGTCACTAAACCATCGATCCTCGCTCCCGTTTATCGACTCGTAATAACTCAAGCATATCAAATTGACGTCGTCGCGTGAGTTCGTAACAGTAATTAAGTATTTAAAAAAAGTATTGCAAGCTTATATATAGCAACAACATATCAGTAAACTGGTGAATTATTAATACATGACAAAGGTCTATTGAACTGCAAAAGAATCATATTAACAGAATGAAAAGGAGCATTTTATACAATTTCAACATAATGTTTATATTGTAATTATGCCTACGCTAGTTGTGCATCTCTGAGAGCGGTTAAGTGCATAAGGCTTTCGACTCGTAGATAATAACTTCCAGGTTCGAACTCCACTTTACTTGCTTCAGCTTGGGCAACTTAACAAACAGGCAGGTATCATGAGCTCTTATGCTGAGAGCAATGTTTATAACTAAGTACACCCAATCTGAATCTGGTAAATAAGTTAATAAATAACATTTCTGATCAAAGAAATGATACCTACTTGTAATAGAATACCCTTTTTAATATCTTCATTTTCATAAATTGTTGGTGCGATACCAGCAGCAAGTCGTTCATATAAATCAGGTTTACGAGCCAATGTATGAAATTCTTCAATACGTTCTTCTGTGAATTGACGTAAAATATGAGCTTCATCACTAGCAGTATTCTCATCACCGGCTAATCCATCACTGTGAACTCGATCTTCACCTTCTCGACTAAAAAAAAATGTTTCAGTGCTCATTATGTTTATCTTAAAACAATCATCTAAATGAACGTAAATCACTATAATGATGATAAAAACAATATTAAATCAGGTATGAAATTATTTTGACGGTTATAAGGAGGAATAAATGCTGAAACGGATCTGATCGACTAAAGTAATTGATTTATTGGCAAAAATCTTGGATATTGGTGTATAGGCATGATTGACAATCAATAAGACAGGTCAATATATATATATATATATATATATATATATATATATATAGGGTGTAAACTGTTTGTTGTTCAGTGATATATCATATACGATAGCAAAAATACACGTCAATGGATCCTTCCCTACAAAATAAATACTAGTGATTCATAGTTAATGTCTAATTTGACACAAATATGCACTAAATGGAGTTGTGTAATAATGCAATGTTCACTTATATCGTGATTCCAACTAAAATACATTAAAAACATAAAACTTACAGAAAATGAAGAACATCTATGTATGTTTTGTAAACCGCCTTAAGAGTACGCTGTCGGTTAGATATTCGTAAAGGTATTGCACGATAAATGCCTGTAACAATAACTCGATCACCTGGTTGAATTTTATCAACAAGTTCTTCATGAGCATACATAAGTACCGTGTGAGGTGTTTGGCTGGCAGGCATATTCTCTGGAGATTCCTAGATAACGAATTAAGAAAGTAGGAATTAAATTGGAGTGATAAGAAAAAAAAACCCGTAACAAATGTAATAACATAAAAATACATTACATTTTGCAACCTTGATGCCATGAATATCAAGTACAGTTTTTAGTTCGAATCATATTATAACAATAGTGATTCAAATATACACATATCTTATGAAGTGCGAAACAGAGAGGTATAATCAAAATATTAGTACAAACCTGTAATTTAATCATTTGTTTATCCACAAATAAACATCGATTATGTTGTAATTGAGCTGTATGCGCTGAATGACAACGTATGCATGCTTCTGGTTCTGCAATACGGCCACGTTCACATGGAATAGATGTCATTGCACCACAGATGGCACATTTGAATTCTGCACGCATCATTTCAGGGATGAGTGGTGATAAGCGAATTACAAGACCAGAGACAGTTACAAGTTGATCAAGGTCATCTGGATCAAGACTGCGTAAATCTCGAGATCTTGCACAATTGAATGGACGAATCTGAAGCAAAAAAAATATGCAGGATGAAACAATTAACTGGAATTAAAGGTCAGTTTCTTAAGTGGTGTAACATTTTTGGTATGTAAAATAGTAAAAAACTGTGGCCATGATTTGAAAAAAATGTTAGAATGACGTATTAATCCTTTACATAATATTTGGTTGAATTTCTTTCAACACCCACTTTTAGCCCAGTCACGTAAAAGGTACCTTTCCTAAATCCGATTGAAAGTGAAAAAATCACCGATAGATATTTCTATAAATAATTACGATTATTAGTGATAAATATGGCTATTCTTAAACGTTATATTAAACTAACTTGACCATGAGGAGATCATCTTGATGAAAACTGTCACGTGAATTTCGTAGCATTTGAATTTCTTACATCACTAATATAAGCATAATTGAAAAGAACTGGAGTAGTTATCTCAGAATAGAGGTTGTGTTGTTGTTTCACATGAAAATGTGATTTTAAAACTATTTCAATCTTTTTATAAGTATGTTCGTTAAGGCTTACATTATCTTCATATACGAGAATTAACTGCCAGTATTCGTTAGCGCAAAACATAGAGGGTAGAATAAAACAAGCCAGTAAATTTACAATTAAATGCTGGCAAAAACGGGATACTTCAGAATGTACTGTCAAGTCACGCTACGAAAGTTTTGTGGATTAATTTTCCAAGACATATATATATATATATATATATATATATATATATATATAGAGAGAGAGAGAGAGAGAGAGAGATTCGAAATACCTGTATTGCTCTTTCCAAATGGACTTCCCGAAAACGGTCTAAAAACAAAGCGTGTGCAGCAGCATCACATGCAGGTATAACCTCCTTCGGAAACGTTACCAACTGTGTATACAATTCTGGTCTGGCAGAACGAAGATGCTCACAGTCAATGTCTAAGGCAGTGGAACCTGATACAGCAAGATCTTCCATTCGTTGGAGATAAAGAGACCTTTCTGGATCTAACGGTTGACCTGTTGTTAGATTCGGTAAGCCAGTTAAATCCGGAGGGATGTAGGTCAGTAGGAAATGTTTAAACCTTGACATCACTTGAGCAATGTTTACGTCAGTACCCCATATCACCGTCTAAAATAAATTAGTGATTTGTTAAAGTGTAAATATGTAAAGTAGTCATAAACGATTGTTAATGTTGACGCCCATGTAATCAGAGGAGATAAATTAGTGACATTGAATCACTATCAAAAACGCAATTGGTATCAGATGTAATAAAATGTTCAGTATATAAATCTATATGATAGTGTACTCAGTTGAATTAGCAAACTTGAAAGTGCAATAGTTATAGAATATATTTTATATACTACTACAGCATACAACTATGTCCATAGCTGAGTTTACTTGGTTCTGTTTTTTCTACATGAATAAAAATGAACATCATCATTTAACTGTTAGTACACACATTAGGAATCAAACTACGTCTTGATTCTACTTTCTTTTGCTAAAGATCCAACCATCTACATAGTATAATTTGTTTATTACTACGAATCACATTGATGTATCCTATTCACTTATAATATTTCAAACATAAGAAATCCTTGTTGTTTAAGATCGGTAACTCATTCAGAAAATTTTGGATGGCTGAATAAAAGTTATCTCTGAAAACTTGAATCTTGCAATGCAGAAAGCTGAACAAATATAAGATACAGCTATTACCACTGACTTGTACCAACTGAATATCGACCTATTAAGCAGTAACGACGTGTATTATCTATGTGAGGACAATTAAACTCTATACGTACTACGAATAATCATTCCACAATACCAACGCATGTTGAACTATAAATGATAAGATGGAGACACTAGTCTATAAAAATCATAACTGTGAAAAGGAATAGTTATGGATAAAAATTATATGAATATAGTTCTTGCCTGAGGTCCACTAGCAGTCGAACCATCAGTAGTACCGGGGAGACCTGTTGCAGTGACAAGCGGCCCAGATTGGGACAAAACAGCTCGGACAGCCAACTCATCATTGACACCAGGACGAACTGAGCTCAATACGTCCTCAACTCCAGTAGCCACACTAGACATATCGCTGTATGACAAAGGACTACCCGGCTCCACTTCGGACGTGCGAAGACCAGATGTAGGTTCCTATGAAAAAATAAATCTGTTAGTTACAGGCAGTTGAAGGATGAATAAACTGTAAAACAGAGTTTGGATGAAAAAGGAAAATAGTAATGGTTTATTTTACTGAGATTCCAAATAATATTTACTAACTGGTAACTCATTCAATTATGCATGGAGTAAAACCTGACAAACGTGCATCAGCTCAAATTGCTGCTTCATATTAATACAGAGAGATGACACTATTGAAATGAATCCACAACAGAAGTAAAAGCATCAGCAGGAGTTAAAAGGATAGGGTATAGAGGATGTGATATGATGATATGGTGCACATTGATTCCAAAATCCTGGGGAAACAAATGGTGTATGAACCGACTACCGGCCACCACGGTACCATATCTTCCAGAGTTGTTTTACTCTCTCAAAGATTAGACTTCTGGGCCGAAGGATCAGCAAGTGTCCCCATAAGAAAACTGTCTGTTTTGGTTTGGGCACCTAAGTAGCATCCCAGTCCAGATACAAACTCAATGATGTGTGGCACATCATATGTTTAAGCGGTTTTTTGCACCGATTTTTAAGTTTAAATAAATATACTACAGTTCGAGAGCTTGCAGAAAACATTCTCACAATTTCCGGACCAGCTAACAGTTAAGTCCTAGGAAACGACAACACTACCGATTTTGAAGTGGGGGTTAGTTGATAGTTAGTTCTTAGAGTTATATATATTCCTTGTCTCTTTTGTACATTAGTCAGTCAGTAATAACTTAAAAAGTAAGACCGTAATTAGAAAGAGTAGACAGGTCAACAGGATCGAGTCCACTTCAAGAAATGCAAGGATAGAGGGTTTATTAGGTGGAACATTCAAGACTTATACCAATTAAAAATGTCAAAACTTGTTTATAGCATTAACACAGGTACACAGTTACATTATTTATAATATTAACGTATACAATAGGGCGATTTGTACGTGCTGACTGGTATGTTAAACTTCAAATTCATAGTGGAGTCTTGGAAAAAAGAGGCGACATACAGCTAACATGGAATATATATATGGGATGCTAGCCATGAACTACTAGAAACTCATGAATTCATTAGGACTTCACGATTTTGCACAGTCTCAACTAAAAAATGGGGGAAATAAAGACAGAACGACTATTTTACACCTGTAGTAGACCGTATAACCAGCCAATCTGGTTTGAATTTAGGTGGAAAATAGATTGCCAGTCGACTACGGGAATGTAAATGTACATATCTTTCGCCTCTTACGCGACATTTAAGTAGAACGTCTTATTCTCACAGCCTAGGTGAAAAAGTTAACACTTCGGTGCAATATCGCATGTATTTCCTCATTCTTAAGTTGGAGTCGTTATGCCCTCATCTGTATATAGGTTGGCGAGCGGTCAACTATATACATTATATCGCCTTACAGACAAAATTCTTAGAATTTTATCTTAAGGCAGCAGTTTATCAGAAAAAGAGGGCTCTACAATGAAGCCAACAAAATAACTTACTGCATTGCTTGTTGGTTCATTATGTCCTGACCGATTACGCCGAGGAGTTCTACCGCGTGTACGACTTGACTCCCCAGTTCGTTCAAATGTGGTCCCTGCACTTAACAGATCACCTGACAACTGTTCATCATTTGTTGCATTCCTTCGACGAGAACTTCGTGAGCTAAGACTAGACATCCCCAAACTTTCATATACCCGCGCTTTCAAAACAGGATCAATGACCGCTGTTTACAATGTGTCAATATATCTAGTCATATGTTACAAAAACGATTATTTAAAAATTCATAGATGTTTACGTCTTTACTACGAAAAGCTCATTTTATGCCTCTCATCTCACTTCCAGAATATTATCATGCTTAGATATTCAGTAATAGGTAGGTTGGTGGACTTAGCCTAGTCCTTGATGAACTTGTTCCTGTGAACAGTCAATTTTTCTCAGAAGATGGTAACCGGTTAGGCTGACATCAATTGTTCAGATATGGGGGTTAGAAAGTCACATTACATCTTTAGTACCTGATCTTTTTCCAGGTCGTAGATTATCTGTATCATCGAAAAGTATGGGCCAGTTACTTCCAATATTCAATATCTTTTCGCCAGCTAGTCTAAACCAGTTAATTTCATTGAGCTCGATTCTTGTTCTTTCAGTACAGTTCCATGTATTTGGTAATTTCCAATGAATCGTAGCCTAGGTTCTCAACTACAATAATTCTAATCAATCGCCAGTTATTCATGGATTTGTTCGTCCCTTGATTAACGTTAGTGCGTTTGCGTCAGGGTTGCATTCCTAATGACGTTTTACTTGGATGTAGCATGAAATTGGAAATATTTCTGCGTTATCGTAACACTTGACAACCTTCAATTGCTGCTGCATTAAAATGAGGAATTTTCAAGACTTGACTCACGATTATGCCTAAATTCTTTTGTCCTAAAACTTATACCAGTGTTCCGAAATTCTTGCCGCAAGCTGGTGAAAAATATTTATTTCATACCTCTTCTTGTTGTCTCTGTACAGTCCAAGGTATTTGCCAATGTTCGGTGGTAGGGGTTAAGCCACCTTGTAATATGGGGGAGTATATTTGTCTCAGGACAAAAGAGGTTCGAGAAACCGTTAGCTGTCACATTACTAGGCAGGAGGCCAGTTGGTTGTGAATTGGTGGATAATAAAGTGAAAATTGTAATTTTAACGGGAATATGAATGATATAGAAACCAAAACAAGTAAGTGAGTCACTTAATTAGTAGCTCATGCAGCGTGAGAAGAGCAAAGTGTAAAATTAAAGAGAACGGAAAGATAGGAATAGGTTAATGATATGTGATGATCATAACGGCAGATGAGTTATGAAACTCGCATCCAACACAGATGATCTTAGCAGGAAACGGTAAAGAATAAACGACTGGAGTTTTTCAAGACTTCTTTTGACGCTATCCGCTGGAAGTATTGCAGTCACTTCAGGTGGGAAAGCATCCTGAACAATTGTCACTTCCAGTTTAAAAGAGCAGGAACGTACTTCGGTTTTTTCACTTCGTTATGCACTCTTTCAGCGGTTATCTTGAGGGGAGTGGCGGTCATATTCATCTAGGATGCTCGTGTTCGTGTGGCGCAGTCGTTATAATATCGCCTCTTATTCTCTCATTATGGGTAAAATAGTCCTGAATTAGGTAGTCTGTCTTCGTAATATTTATTTTTTACCGAACTGCCAACTTAGCCACCCATCCCACTGCTGGTTTGAGGGATTCATGTCTTTTTTGAAGAGAAAGAGTACCGCAACGTCATAAACTTCAAGGTGGGGCCATACGCTTTCATTCAAGAGAAAGTTACGGACAGTTTCGTCGCCATCGCACTACGTTGTCTCCGGATAAGGTGAAGAGACATTGGCTTCACCCCCTATAAATGGATTTCTACCGTAGCGGTTCAAATGGTTTCCAATAAGTGCAATCTGAACGCGTATCTCCCGGTCCAAGGTCCAAGAAAACACAATAATTCTGGGAGAAAACGGTCTGTATTAATTAAAAGATGGAAATACAAAGCAATACCTGGAATTGATGCACTTTCCAGGTCACAATTACTCCGAAGAGTATCCAAAGCCAAGGGGAATAAGTGACGTTAAGTCCAACCGCCACCGTATCAATCCAAATATGGCTGTGGCCATATTAAAGATCGAATTTAAACAACATATATACAGTTCAGAAGCAAACATAAAAACTTCAATATAAGTACAAAATATAGAAATAATAACAATATACAATGATAAATTCTCAAATTGGAATCAAATAAAATACCAAACTGTCAACAGAAAAAGTCCGTCATGTCATAACAAAAATATGTAAACATGGAGGGATTTTCCAAAAAACAAAACATTCAAAAAGGATTCTACACCCCCTACGTAGTATGCAGTTATGTCCAGACTCTCTGTGGTTATCAGACAGAGATCGTGTTCTTAGGGGATATTTAGGAGCCGAATTATATAGAGCGCGTAAGTCGTTTGTCACGTACAGAATGTTCATGGCATGGCATTTTGACTGGTTAGGTTTTTAACTGTTGTCTACCGCTCATTCGTTTAATGTTTGAAGGTTCTTTGACCCTCAAATGAATCCTGGAACTCCAGAACTTTCCGTCCTCTGCATAGATTAGTGTTACTGTGCTTATTTTGTCTTGGAGTTGATGGGTGTTTGGCTCTTATTGGTTACTGATTCGACTCACTGTTCAAATGACAATAAGATTCACAGCCGTCGCTAAGGTGGCAAGATCTTTCCAATTCGGACCTTGAAGAGCACAGACACATTAGTTTGTAGGATTTTCTTTAGTCATGAATCTTTAGATAAATTTAGGGTCACCTAGTACTTGGGCTGCTAGCTTAGTATGTGATTATCTCCTACCGCTTCGAATTCTTACTTCGCATTTTTCCCCCAGTGTGAGAGCAAAAACAGTCTCTAATTTTGGATTTATTTCTAAGCCATGAATACTGCACTTATCTATACTACTTAAATAAAAGATATATATGTGTATATATAGGAAAATGAATGAGCCGTTGGATAATTTCAAGGGCTAACCTTAAGGCGAGTAGAATGAATGTGCTTAGGCGGTAAGCAATATTCAAGCACAAATGCTCACACAAGCGCAACAAAGATAAAAGTACAGTAGTTGCTATACGAATGACTGTCTGTTAAATAGGTTTATCAAAAGAGCTTAACCAAATTAAATGTGAATAAACTCAAATGTACGTGACTTGCTTTGACCTTGAATGAATCGCCATAATCTGTAGATGTCGAGGAGCGCCTGAATACCCTTCGAAATACCATGGAGGCTTAGAAACAGCGTGAAACGTTTCATTCATTCAATTCTGAATAGAAAATTTTCATAAACAGCTGGGAAAGGCAAAGTCATGTGCAACAATTCTGAATGGATATTACGTCATACTGCTACCACATTTAGTCTTGTTCTCTAACTTCTAGAAGACCAGATCATGGGTTATTATATAACTAACCTCATTTTTCCGTTCGTAATCTAACATAGGAATGTAACGTTTATATAATACTTCGAGACATTCTCTTGTGCTAAAGTCGCAGTTTAGATTGCTTCCGGGGTCATCAAACGCGGATAGGAATCATTTCTTGTGTTTTTTTAACAGACTTATCGATAAGATCTGACGTGAGGGTTACATCACTGTGTTTACTGACTCACTTATTCGTGAGGGTTAACAGTGCGCTTTTCAGTACTTCTGAGAGTTAAATGTGGGCCGAGACTAAAAGAATACATTTAATATGAAAAGAAAGAGGTTATATAGAGTGATCACACCTGTATGACCGAGACATGTCTTCCTGACTGAGTGTTCATTCATTGTATGTTTAGGTATACTCGGGAAAACCCTCCACAGTGTTTTATTGTAAAATTTTGTCGTTTCTTTGTTCTGAAACTCCACTGTGTACTTGAATTTTATGATAGATTTTTCACTATAGAGTTATGGAGATTATTTATTTACTTTGAAATCGCTAATCAATCCTTTTAGGACGAAATGGCTACCAGATGCTTCCAGGTTTCCAGTGGTTGAGAAATTCGAATAATTCACTTCTACCCGAAGTTTGTGCTGATGATGTAGTTCAGAAGAATAATCCAAGCTCTATATCCGAAACACTCGGCCCAAAGAACGCAACTCCATCACAATCTTGTTCGGATATCGAAATCTGAAAGCGATTGCAATGAACATGTGAAAATAATGCAGTGAACGTTACCTAAACATTCTCGAATATCTTACTAATAAACGCAGAATATGAAATAAAGTCTTCTGCAGTTTTCTTAACGGCCTTTAGGAAATTTCATGGCAAGTTCAATAAAGAAGTTTTGGCTGTTAAAATTTCCGTTAGTTTTTATACAACAATTAGGACAGCGAAATTGTTGATTTTTTTGAAATACTTCACTTATTCAGCTGCTCCGAGTCTCTGAAGAAGAATTGTTACTTTTAAAGAGTTGTCATGATGAAAAATATTGTCGTGTAAAATGTCTTCGTATCTCTTGATCCAAGATTCAAATGTTACACTTAAATCAGGATCGAAATGAAACTTGCTCATTAAATATTCGCGATTTCAACATAGATTTCATTGGAATCTGGCAGCGAATGTAAATCTTCCTAGGCTATTTCATGTGTTTATTAATCAATGGTAATGACTCGTCAAACCTCAACAGTTTAAATTAAAATTCAGAACAAGAACGGTCATGGAATTATGCATTTACAAAAGCCTTGTTTTTTGACTGCACCTACGAAAATCAAAAGCGACAGTCAAAATTGTTGAGGGAATGCAGTTATGATGATAAATAAGGTGGACGTTACTAGTTTGAGTAAATGCTTAATAATACTACACAACAAAAAATCTACATCAAACGCCAAATTGTTATTGGTGATTTGAAGTAAATCTTAGCTACGCCTATTGCCCCCGATGAAGCATAAACGCCAACTAGAATTCTCCAAGGAACTCTTTTCTGAGCCTTCCTTACAAGTTCCAATTACTCTGCACTTTTTTCATTTTTGTCTCCAATTCTCAATTAAATATATTCTTTGATCTCCCAATTTTGCTTTAGCCTTGAGGATTCCAAGGGAAGGATTGTATTTTGACTCAGTTTGGTGCTTACTTCAATGTGAATCCTATCCACCTCTAGCACTTTTTCTTGATTAGTTTCTCAGTTCGAATCAGGATAGCTCTCTATCGCAGCGGATGTCTCGAA